TGATGTGCTGCTCAGCGGATGGCAGGTGCTAGAGCGGGGCCGGACCTTTGGCCTCGGCGTACGCTGCGTGTCAGAGGCAATTACTGCCAGCATTAATAAGAGATCTGGCCTTCTGTCTGGGAAGCAGGAGGCATCGCAGTGGGTCACAAGAGCAAGATGCTGCTCTTTTCCGTAACTGGTGCCATTGCTCTTCATTCAGGGTGCCTGCCCTCTGGGGAAGCAAATATGCTGGCCAAATATTGAGAGGCAAGAAATGGGAGGGGGTGGGCACCCTTCAAGGGTGTTGGACTCTAACGTTCATCAGCCCTAACCAACATGGTTTGCGGGATGCGGTCAGAAGAAGGCTAGCCTAAACACTCGTCTTTGGAAACTTACCTCCAACAGAAATGGCCTCTGAGAAGCACTCATCTTTAGCCACAGCCTCCCATCTATAATATAGGAGTAAATGTACTGGCCTACCTTACAGGGATGTTGCACAAATGAAACATAGTGACCATAGTGATCATCATCATCATCATCATCATCATCATCATCATCATCATCATCATAGCTTCCTAAGTCAGCACCCTGCCTTTGGCTAAGGAATTGGACTGTGGCTGCCAGCTATAATAGGTTGTGGTACCCTGACTTCCTTTTTCGGGGCCTGCCTACCTGCTAGTTTCTTCAGGTCTGAGGATGCTAAGAATGTAAAGTGATCTTTGGGTGTAAAATAAAGGGGGGGGGAGCCACTTTACAAATACGGTTGCATTCCCAATGGCTTTCTCTCCGTGAAAATGCCTTTCATTGATATCCCTAATAAAATATCTGCCCATAATCTGACCCAGGGATGTATTGCTGCTCTGCAGAGGAACATCACATGAGGCTCCATCTTGGAAATGTCTCCTGCATGGTGCCTCAAAAACACTGAATGATTTCACGGAATCACAGAGTTAGAAGGGACCTCAGTGGTGATCTAGTCCAACCCTGCTCAGGGCAAGATCCAGCAGAGCCTTTAAAATTGAGAGACTCAAAGTTTCAAATGCATTCTGTATTTACACAGATGTTTGCACCACCCCAAGACTTCTGTAATTCATATTTCAGAGACACGCTTGTCTGTGAATATACATGGTTAGAAAAAAAGTAACAACACAGTTCTATATCTATTGATGAGTTCTGTCTGGTGTTAAGGTTTCAGGAGAAGCCCTTTCTCTTTGATCACTGTCAGAGTAGAGAGGAGTAGATATTGTTTTCTTTCTGTAGTTAGACTTCAACATTTACAATTGTGTAAAGCAGGTCTTCAGTTAAAAAAAAAGTTCTGAAATGCATATAAGTGAGAAAAGTGCATACACACAGGTGTATATTGTTAGAAAGGGGATGTACCAATACTGGGTACAACTTCATTCAAAAAGTGCATGTTGTGTTAAGAAAATCCTGTATAAGAATACATATGGTTTTGTTCTTAAGCTTTTAAATATTAAGTTTTGCAGGAACAGAGAGAGCAGTTTAGATTTCAGTCCTTTCCACACTGTGTCTAACTTTCCTGCTTTGTCAGTTTGTCTTAATTCTTAACAAGTCCATACACAAATGCATCTTTACCTATTAACACTACACGTGAGAGATTTATAAAACCTTTCATCTCTTGTATTTACCCCAAAGACCCTGTGTATAGCAAGCTAGCTGTCTGAAGTCTTTAGCCCTTCTTTCATTGCATTTATACCTCACTTTTCATCTCAAAAAAGCGACGCGTGTAAAACACAGGCAGAGCGTCAATCGCACCATCATGCCTTGACTTTTTTACCACACCCTGCAGACTGCCCCGTGTGCAATCCAGGTGATACTTCGACATAGTTTGTGTTGGCAATAGAGGATTTTGTGTCAGAGAGTTTCTAAGTGGACCAGGACTACTGCCTTTCTTTGATTTATATGCTTTTAGTCAGGCTTCTGCTATTTTGAGGATAGAGTAGCGTGATTTTGTTTTGTGGGGGTGTGTGTGCATGTTGTCTTCCTGTTTGCTTCATGTTTGCTGAACCTCTTAGGCCCTTTGTACATCATTTCTTCCTCCAAGACATGTCACCTATCATCATTCCCCACAGTTGTTATTTCTGAATGCTTTTGGATGAAATAGGCACTATGCATTCTTTTTCTTACCCTGGCCCTCTTTGACCCTTCCTTCCCCTGACACACAACAGGCTTTCATCTGAAGCATTCTGAGACCCATTAAACTTAGCAAAGCTGTGGTTTTCAGCTTGGCATTATCTTTTGTTCTTCAGGCTTTTGAGCTGTTCTCGGTAGCAATCAGGTGTGTGTTGCGCACAGTGTTTTAGAGAGAGCGCGAGTCACACAGAATGGGGGTTGGAAGGTGCTGCCACTTGGCCATATAGAAGAATGTATCTTTCTGGGCGTTTGCTGAGGGAGACCCCAATCTGGACACCTACAAAATAGTATTTTATCCTAAGGAAAATAGCACAGTTCAACCAACAGGCCGACAATGTGTGTCAGACAATGGTTGCCCCTAATTTGATAGAAATTATTGCTTTTTTTTTTGGTTTCTGGGCCCCACACTTCACTCTTTTTGCTAAGATGATCTGCCTTCCTTTTCACCTAGCAGCAGCAGCAGCAGCAGCAACCTTTTCAGCAGGCTTGGAAACAAATGGCGAGAGAAGGAGAATTATTCTTCCTCTTCTGCTTAGAGATCAGGCACATTAGCCTTTTATCAGCTGCCATTAAATTGTATCAGGCTCCCCAGTATTTTTCCCCAGATAGTCATTTTGAGCACTGTAACCCGCCCGGGCTTCTGTTTTCCTCCTCCTTCCGAATCCCATTTTTTTTTCACTGCATCCCAACAACAACATGTTCATTGTTAACCTAATCATGGTTTGCTCAGATAACCTCATTTGCAGGGTTGCATGACACTGAATTATAGGGGGTAGGTTCACACAAATATGGTCAGACAAGGATCACTTTTGTAGGTTATGCCTTTTAGGCTGTAAGTCTGAGGGCAGAGAATGGCATATTATTGATCTGTGTGAATCATTCTAAGAGCCTTTTTGGTTTTAACAAATGCTTTAAATAGCTGGCTGTAGGCAACTCTTTGCTGAGGTATGTTGAAGTAGAAGTTGGACAGATATCTCAGTGGTGCTTTGGGATTTGGATTCCTGTAGTGTTCAGGAGTTGAACCATAGGTATCTTCAGGGGGGAATAACCTGTGTAAGTGACAAAATGTGAGCCATGACTTGATTGATTGATTGATTGATTGGTTGATTTGATTTGGTTTGATTTGTATGGCCACCCATCTTAAACACAACTCTGGGCAGTTCATAACCATAAAACCCAATAACTATAAAAATCATAAACCATAAAAACATAAAAACAAAAACCCAGCACCTCAGTCATCCCCTTGGGATGCCCCACAACCAGCTCCAGATATCCTCATTCAATCCCAGTGCCTGGGTAAAAAGCCAGGACTTGATGGCCTTCCAGAAGGCTGAGGGGGTGGGGGCCTGCCGACTCACCAGGGGGAGGGTGTTCCATAAGATGGGGGCAGCCACAGAAAAGGCATGCTTCCAGGTCCCACTAGGTGGCAAGATTTTAGGGAAGGGACCTGGAGTGAGCCTACCCTAGCTGATCTGGTAGGATGGGCCCTCAGCGAAAGGCAGTCCTGCATCATAAGGTAAAGAATGTGACTTGCCTACCTGAGTTGGACATTTGGATACTGTATGTAACTTGCTTCATGATGTCACTGTGCGTGTGCCATCAATCCTGATTGGATGAAGACACCTGTGGTTGGACTTCAGTGCTTAAGGGCTCCTTTTAATGCCATGATCTTATAATTCTATTAAGTAAGCAAGTAGAAGGATATAGGAATTAGGCTTGTGAGAAGGAGATTGGATTTCCCTCTGCAAGATACAGTTTGCCTTAAGAAGGCACTACCTGTCCCTTGGACACCTCTTCTGGCTATAGAAACTATGGGAGGAGTCCTCAGCAGCACATAAAGGGAAGCAGCACAGCTGCTCTGCTTTAATTTTAGAAGTAGGGGAGGGTGTGGCTTTGCTTTGCTGGTCTGCCTTCATTGGATGTTTTAGTTGAATCACCATCAGATATCAAAACTTTGCACAGCCCTAGTAGGAACAGTGGAATGGGTTCAGGGAAAGAAAATAAAGGCAGTGTAAGGAAATAAATCTTATGAGGAAAGTGTGAAGAGACTGGAAGCTGAGCCAATAGCTGGAAAAGACAAGAACAGGAATACAATATGACCCTCAAAACCATGAAGGTTTGTCATGTAGGAGAGAACAAATAGTCATTCTCAGTTGATCCAGAAGACAGAACTAAATTTAATGAGCTCAAATTATTGAGAAGAAGGATATTGACTGTAAGAGCAACTCACCAGTGGAACCAATAACCATGAATGGTGATAGTTCTCCCTTTCTGGAGCCCTTCAGGTGAAGGTTGAACAGGCATCTCTCAAAAATGAATTTGTAACAGACAGAAAGCCTCCATGCCTATGATTCTTTTTCTTCCATAAAGAGTTATTGATTCTTCCATTAACATTGTTTCTGTACCATTCATAGATTTTGTACCTCCCCAGGATTTTTTTTCTCCCTCCTGATCAATAAATATATGTGAAATGCTTACTGAGCTAAAACTTTCACCCTGGTAGGGGGAGGTTATTTCATTTATTTGGAAGGAGCAAATAGTGGCTCAGACATATAAATTCTGTGGCATTTCTCACAATACAATCATGTTGGAGTCAGTGTTAGGGCTGTGCACTGCACTGGAGCATGAAGAGGGGCACGAACATAGTATCTGGTCTGCAACTCTTTAAAGCAGCTGTATGATCCCGGGAAATGATACAGTTGTTTTAAAGAGTTGCAGAAAAGTGATTATTTTTGATCCTCATGCACTTGAAGATATCTTTTAAAAACTAAATTCAAAATACTACCCTGCCCTATTCAGTAATAATATCTATATCTTTACTGTTAATGGTGAACCATGACTGATTTGTCATTGTGGTCTTTTTACAGCATCTCCTTCAATCAAGCTATTGGTGGATGATCCCATTGTGGTGAACCCTGGGGAAGCCATCACTTTGGTTTGTGTCACAACAGGGGGTGAGCCACTTCCAACCCTAACCTGGGTAAGATCTGTTGGTACCTTACCTGAAAAGATAGTACTGAAAGGTGGGACACTGACCATCCCTGCTATCAACTCTGATGATGCTGGCACCTATAGCTGCATTGCCAACAACAATGTGGGGAATCCAGCAAAGAAGTCCACCAACATCATTGTCCGAGGTAAGAGCTTTCTGGGATTATGCTTATCATCAGATTAACCAGCTGTGGGACAATTGGACTGGATTTTACTTCTATGACAGAGTTGATCTGAGCATGTACTAACAGGATAATTTTGAACATTGATATTATTGGTATTTGGGGATAGTTTTTATGCTGTATAGGTCTTTTATTCTCTTAGTGTCATGCAAGCCATCCTTTAACTTCTTTTTACTAGAACATATTCATGAGAACAAATATGCAGTTATGTTTTGAGGGTTTTTTGGTTTACTTTTGAAAAAATGTGTATGTGCATAAGGGGATGTTGTTGATTTCTGCCTACTTATAGAGACAGGCTATCCACACTGAGTTGTGTTTAGTAATGCAAGGAGCTGCTGTACAGGTCTATACCTTGGTTAGATCCTGTCCAGATTGTTCAAACATGCTGCACCTGAGATTACCCTTGAAAGGTAGACTGCTACTTGGTACAAGGTAGAGGGGATCCTGATGATGCCTGTACTGAAAGATCTGCAGTGGTTGTTAACTGTTTAACAGACACAAATTAAATTCATAAACAGCTTGGACTGACCTTCTGAGGGACCTTCTCTCCCATTACAAACTTGTTTGGGTGTTAAAACCTGCAGGGGAGTTTTCTCAGAAATACCTGCATGACAGAATGCTATCTATCTACATGTCTATCAGAATATGGAAGGCACCCCTTCTGTTAAAATGCATCTCTTTTGCTAGACTTTTAACTATTAATCACTTTTGGTATTAATTTTGAGAATCACTTTATTCTTTTTGGATTTTTTGAATGGAAAGGTGGGGTGTAAATTGAATAAATCAATAATATACCCAGGACTATTTGGGCCATACCATTTAGTAGTAGCCTTCCAGGATGTTAGGCCAATGTTTTTGTAAAATCACCTGAAGGTGGTGAAGATTGAACCTGAGGTTTTCTAATTGGAGAGCATACACACTATTTTGTTGCAGCCCTATGGCCAATATACTTTCAATTATATTTTAATTTAAGCCCCCCTGTTGTGGAATTTTCACACTCAGATTATCATAATAAGCAACAAGATTCTATTGTTGCTGTTGCACTGATATGAGGGTTGATTGCAGCTTTCTCATCTAAGACCAACAGATCACTGCAAGGCAGTCCTCCAGCCATTTTTCTTTTCCCTATTGCATGAAAGCAACAACAAAAAAAGCTTTAAAGCATCCATGGTTAGCCATCCTACAAGCCTGAAGCTGGGTTTGCTTGCCTGCAAGCTGCATAGCCTGAAGGTATTTCTAAAGAGATCTGCAGAGGATTCCTCTTTCCCAAAGTGACCTGGACATGGTTTCTGCTCCCTCTAGGTGTTGTTTTATGCCAGAATACAGCAGCTTTTCCTTTTTTCTTGTTTTCTCGTTTTTGTAGACTGTGTGATTGTGCTAAATATGTTCGTTCCCCACCTCCATTCCCCCCCCCAAAATCAAAAACACCCTTCATGATGACACTGCAATGAGGTACTTTAGACAATGGCAATGTAGCTTTCTATGGATATATTTTCTTCTCTCCAGCTATGATCATTTCATGCCTCGCAGTCTTGTTTTGCTCTTTCTGCTTTGCTACCCCCACCAGCCTGGATGTGGATTGCTTGCTTAGGCCTTTTGCAAGAGAGAACTCAAAAAGTTTTGAATTATTTCATTGTTAGGCTCAACATCAATAACATGATGTAGATAGAACAGTTTCTATCCATTTCTCCCAGTTTGATTGTTAACATCCACATTTTGAAGTTTGTAGTAGATCAGGTTGATAACATCGAGGCCAGGGGAGATACAGAGAGTGGTGGGACTGTCAGGTTGTGCGATGTGATGGATAGTGTGGTGGATATAGTCAACAGAGAAGCAGATTTAAATCCCTAATAATGCATGGAAGCTACTACCATAACTTTGGCCAATTCCCACCCCACCATCCCGTTTGCTCACTTCTTTCAAATATAAAATAAATAAAGATGTTCCCCACATCGCCAGTGATGGGCCTTTCTCCTGTCCTCCAGAGGAGAAGACAGTCAAAAATTGCTGCCTGACAGAGCTCCCTTTGCCACATCTCAACAAAAAGGCCAATAAAGTCCTGTCATATAAGGGTGGAGGTAACAGATTCTGCTGCTGTTGTAGGGAATGAGAAATAGGGAAGGTGGCTCTTCCCTTTCTTTGTTACCTATCTTTCTACCCCACCTCAGCATGGGTCCTTAGCTGCCTTCCACCATGGTAATCTCTGCCTTTACCTACAATTGGAGAGTGCTATTGCTACTCCATGTGTAGTGAATATAAAGGATGGCCTTGAAGGACAAAGGAAAGATCCATTACCAGGGCAATTCACATAAAGATAAAAGAGGGAGTCTCTTTTCTGCTCCTGTCTCCCCTAACAGCAAAGGTGGACTATTGAAGCAGCCAAGACTACCAATAGGAAACAGGTGAGCCTGTGTTATCTTCAGCAGGTAAAAGAGAAATGGCCACAGAAGTCCAGAGCCATGTGGATAGATGGAAGAGGGTGCTCCTGTAGCAGGCCGATTAGGCCCTGCAAATCACTGACATCCTTCAGAGTCCACCTCCACGTAAAACACAATGTTACACAGAGGAGGCTTGTTCTGTTTTCCATAAGAAAACCTTAGTTTCCTTCCAGATCACCTTGATCCTGCCTCAGTATCAGGCTGGCCCTGAGATGAAGATATAGGCATGAGGATATGTCCTCAATAACTGGTAAGCAGGCCATCTCAAAACTGGGGAAAGGAAGCTGTGTGGCTGACTTCAGAGTAGGCTTGTGTGGGTCAGCTCCAGTTCACTTGGATGGGGCACATCATTTTGTGGAGACAAATCTCTCTTCCTTAACACAGCACTTTGCTACATGGAGATGGGTCCAGTCTGATCTGTATCTTTTGTTCAGTAACAGGGCTACTCTGCTCTAATATTTAGAATTGTTGTGCTGCTTCGTTTTGAAGGGAAACTTTGATCAAAGCTGTGATGAATCAAAGTGCCTCTTTGAAATTCTGTAGGATTCTATGAAGTAGGGCTATGAGAACCATCTGAGATGTCTTGAGGAAATCGCAGGACAAAAATAAGGTAATGAATTTTAAAAAAAGGGAGAGCAGCATTTAAAGTAATCCGAAGCATAAAGAAGAAACATTTTCAAAGGTGTAACCATGGAACATCAGTGAATAAAAATTTTTCATTCTCTATGGCTTTAAATATAAATGAAAAATATTTTTACTTTGAAGGAAACAAGAAAATTTATTTGGATTGCTATAGTGTGAGATAGATAGATAGATAGATAGATAGATAGATAGATAGATAGATAGATAGATAGATAGAACTAGAACTAGAACTAGAACTAGAACTAGAACTCCATACTATGAGCAGCTCACTCATATTGTCTAAGCAGTGGCTAAGGTCTTTTAAATATATTATCAGATAATGGCTTTTCCAACTCTCACCAGATTTCTCCAAGTTGTTCCCTACCGTGAAACACTGAACAATGAATCATCATTTTACCTTTCTCTGCAATCTATTGATCCTGAATGATTTCCGTTTTTGCTTCCTTGTGACTTGGTCTCCAGCTGCCTATGGAGTCTGGTCAAACCACAGTCTAGAACATTTCATTCTGATGAAGCAAATTTGTTCTTCTGTAAAAGAAGAGCTTGGTGATGGACAGGACTGGCTAGCAATGGCTAAAAGCTTATATCAGTTTTCAAGGAAGTATAGTTTGGTAGCCTTCCCAAACCTGGCACACGCATACACCCAGGTGGGTTGGGATTGATATGTCTAAAATTCCAAGCTAGCATGACTAGGAGTTCTTGGAGTTGCAGATCCCACACATCTGAAGGGAGCCCAGTTGGGGAATGCTGGATTGTGGTTTCCAAGGACTCTTAGAAATCTCAAACATCCCAGCATTACAACCTTTTCCTCCTTATCCAAGCATCCTCAAGGGTACCCAGTTCTTAAGCATCATAAGCTAGAAGCCAAAATAGGTAAATTGTTCCTCTGTAGATACTTATCCATTTCCATAATTCCTTGCCATTATTCAAGGGATCAGATTGCCTATCCCTGGCTTCCTCCATTAAAAAACAAAAAACTCTGTTTCAGATCTTCCCCCTTCCTTCTCACACTTTTTATATAACCAGTACCACTGGGGTGGACTGGTGTATAATTCTTCCAAGCACCTTCCATATGTGTTGCAAAATAAGATTCAAGTTTTTCCTCTTCTCTATGAGAGTTCAGAAGAACTAAGCTAATTACAACATAAACTGGGGAAAGCATGCCCTGAAGAATTAATGCTGTGCATTTTTTTCCTATCAGTTCTCATTCAATTTAATGAGAAAGAAATTGCTTTGAAATTGCTTTCAAGGTGAAGAGACTATCTGTGAAATTCTCATACTCAGAGCGTGGTATTCTTGCACTTACTTAGTTACAAGGTGGACAAGATTTATGTATGAATATCCTATATTTCATTGTACAATCTTTTCTCTAGCAATCTGCAGCCTTTCTGGCTTTTTCTCATTCAATTATATCCCAAAGGAATATGTCATCTGCAAACCCCTCCTATCTTGGTTTTTTCAGATTGGACAGTTATGAGCAGCCAGGAAGGCTTCAGAAGGATGGGAAGATGTGTACAAAAGAACAACAAGAACACCCTCTTCTGCCCCAATGATAAAGTCAACTCAAAAATGCCACAAGAGAAATTCAAAACAAATTCTTAAGATCACTAAAAATGCTGTAAGGTAGAAAAACAATCCCTTTTCATAGTGGAAGAAAACCACTGAGAACTTACAAGCAGATGTCTATATAGAATTGAAAAGCAGGCAATAACAGTTCTACTGAATCTAACCAAGAATTTGTCTTCTCCACCAGCCTGTTCACACAAGGGTCAACTGGATGTCAGTAGGAAGTGCACAAACTATCAAACCAATAGCACCCTCCTGGTGATATTCCTCAGCAATGAGCATTCAGAGGCATGCTGTCTTTGGTTATAGATCCTAGTT